CCTTTGGACGTCCTAAGGATATCCATGGGACATAAGTGTGTTATTAGGGTGATATAATATGGAACTTACTTTTTACAATTCATGAATAATGCTTCCAGCTTATCTATCCGCGAGGTCTTTCAGGTTGAAACTCCCAAATACTCATTAGAATTGAGAACGATATATTCATTAGGAAAAAACGATGATTTTCAAATAACAATAGTCAGTGAGAGATATTGATCACCAACATTCTGGTTCCAAGGTGAGATAGATGGTTAGACATAATAGAGACATATCATTCTAATATACACTATTTTCTACACATATTCAGGGTGTATCTGAATGACACCGAAAAAATTCAAGGGGTGATTGAAATTCAGGTATAGGAAGGTACATCCTTTACTATTTCTTTGGCATAAAAATGGTTGAGTTCACGTGGTCTAGTGTTAGGTGGGTACCAACAGCTTCTTCTTCCAAATGTAGAGAGGGGTCACGTGGTATCTTCTTTTGAAGAACTTTCGAATCTCTATCGAACACCGCTTTGTTTATGTGACAAGCATTTGGAATTATCTACAAATATTCAGATCAATGAATGAAAACCTGAATTACCTTAGACTGCAGCATGAATTTGAATGAGAATTGGAACAAGTATATTCGAAAATGCAAGGTATGTTCACCGTTCACTTATCTCTGATAACACAGGCCAGAAAAGGTTCGGGTGTCCATGGACAGAAAATGTACATCCGTCGGATAAAATTGGATGCCTATCCAATGGAGTAGCACTGAAACTATTTCAATGGATATCCAAAAGAGTTTCGGATATTCATGTACATGCATTGTCCATCCATTGGATAAAAATGAATGCCCATCCAATGAATAACCAGTGACACATGCACGATGGATATCCATATTATATCTAGTTGACTGAAAGAGTGCATATGCCATCGCCATCTTTGTTTTGTGTGTTGTCTCAATTGTCTGTTCGTCTGTATTCCGTCGCTTGACTCGTTCGTGTTTGCTGTTATTGAAAGCAGGAGTTTCTATCATTCGAGGCAGGATTATGCAGCCATATTCATAGTTACATTCTCATTATTATGGTATAAAACGTAGGTACCCGTTCATGCAACCATAATGAACTTAGTGAACTAATTATTCGAGGTAAATTTTAGGTTATGGGTAATACTTACTTTTTCGTTTTCTTCACATAATATTTTTAGGATAAGCCTGTGTGTTCTTTTTTTTTGTGGGAAATCATCCATCGTTATAAAGTATGAAATATTCAATACTGAAATAATTGTCCCAATTAACCCAATGCATCAGTGAAATTGTGATTAAAAATAAACGTTGTATGAATCAACCATTTAAGCTGTAAAAGTGAAAACCGCTTATAAATGTACCTATCATAACAGGGCTGAAACAAAGCTTTACTTCAGACTCTTTTGGGACCAAATTATAAAAGTGAAGATATATGCAAAATATGATATAATAGTGGGAGAGTATTATATATATAATTCCAAAACTTGTACAAAAAATGTACAATTCATGTAGAGTGTTTGTACAATAGGTGTACTTACTGAAGTTATGCAGTTCATGTTCAGTAGTTATCCAATTCATGTCCAGTAGTTGTTCGATTCAATTCGATGTAGAGGATGATGGATATCCAATGATGGACATCCAAACTTTTTGCCTATGGAATAACAATGGATGTTTATTGGACAGAAACTGGGCATTTATATATATAATAAAGAATGATAACAATGAAAATATCATTAATAGCCGATTTGCACAAACAAATAAGCGGTATTGGATAGGAAATTGAAAGGCCTTCAAAATAAGATATCACGTCAACCCTCTTCAGATAAAAAAAAGTACACGGTTTCAAATAAGAGATGAAATGGCGTCAACGTTGTTTAATGTGATAGTGTTATTTTTCCTTGACCAGAGAGTTGTTACTTGAGCGACGACCCTAGTTGGGCGTTGAGCTAGAGCCTTGAGAATCGAACTATCTAAGTTTCAGAAATCCAGCTGGAACGTGTGATACTCCATTTTGGCGAGTTGAATGATATGTTTGATGCATGTTTTTTTACTTATAACAAGAAAAAAAAATGTCCGCAAGGTAGATGATCGTTTATTACATTCATCAGCAATTTAAGGCCATTATCTCGATAGGTATCAGCCGAGTCAGAATGTTGAAGAGATCTTGAGACCTACAATTAATAAATCAATATAACTGGTGATCAAACTGGACATAAATCACTGACTTTTCAGTTGGGACAGTAAGCGCTTCATCACAATGTACCCCAAATAGCAGTCACTACCAACCTTCTACATATATTGAAACCATCCCACCCAGAACTTCGTCTTGATGCGAGAAAATCATTAGATAGGTACACTAAGAGTTGTTGATATAGAAGAAGTGAAACCAGAAAAATATTACCATTTTGGTATTATTTGGATTATTGGGAATTTCATCAAAAACTCCCATTCATCATCTCAAATCGGTGATCATGTAATAGATTTACTGAATGATGTTGATGCTCCACCTTTATCAGAAAGTTCTGGGAGCAAGTTGTACCCTATTTTGTCAAGTGTTTATGGGGCAAATAGAGCCATTAGTAAAATAGGCATTTATCATGGAAATGGGAAACCAGCATATGCAAATTAGTTCCTAAATGCATTTGTTACTGAAGCCATAGATATTCTCAATAATAAAGATATCAAATGGACATACATAATGGATATCCTATGGACATACATGATAGATATCCTATTGACATACATGATGGATATCCTATGGACATAAATGATGGATATCTCATGGACATACATGATGAATAACCTATGGACATACATGATAGATATCCTATGGACATACATGATGGATGTCATATGGACATACATGATGGATATCCTATGGACTCACGAAATGATGGCCAACGTACGTCCATTGATCATCCATACGATATCTACGATATCTTTCGGATCAGATTTGGATATCCAACGGATATCCAGAATATTCTTAATGGATATCTTTATATCTATCCTCCCTAGGAACGCACGATGTTCTTTGAACATCATAGGGATCCCCTTTCGTGCGCTCCAAGCGATAAAGAAAAAAATGTATTAGTATGACCAAAGAGGGAAAATATGAAATTGGCAGACTCATCTCTGAAAACATCATACTGTAAGTTGGTAAATTTTCAAGTTTTATGATGTCGTATTCTCAATAAACTATCAATTAGTCTGGTAATTCTTTTTTCCTACGACCACTACTGTAAGTGATGGATATTGTACACAAAACAATGGCAGTAAGTATCTCCTTACACACGTGTGCGTAAAGAGAGCGATCGCACGGTTTTCATAGGTATGTTGATAGATCACTTTGTTTTGTTGCTTTGGCGATGTGTCAATAACAATTAACAATTTCATTAATGTCACTAGCTAGGTGGGTAGGCATTTTTTGAAAATATTATTATTTTCTATTGAGAATCCTCAATTTCATTTAAAAAAAATGATGTCAAGCGATGACGATGAGCATATTATTTCTACACCACCAGAAATGTTGGAAAAAGCTAGAATGGTAAAAAATGAGTTGCTACCCGCTAAGTCTTGTAAATGATACGAAATAGCACATCAAAAATTCCTGGACTGAAAAATTAGAAATAATACCGTGTCATTTTCGGACAATATCCTTTTAGAATACTTTCAAGAATTACCAAATTTCATGAAATCATCATCACTCTGGTCGATATATTCCATATTACGATCAACACTAAATATATCAATCACAATATCAATATAGCAACATATCCCATTTCCTCAAAAGGGAAGGATGGATTCAGAAGTAAAAAATCGCTGAACAGACCAATTACTTTCTGCAGAATGCTCCTGTTGAAGATAATTTTTCAAATAACATACATAATCAACATTGAATTGATGAATTCCTTTTTCTATAAATAACAGGAATAATTGAGAAAGATCCATCTTCGAAATTATGTTTATAAAATATCTATTTATACGTAGAAATGGTGATAGCTCAGTTGTTAGAAGCGCTGGCTCTGAGCCCAAAGGTCGGTGGTTCAGAGCGCAGTTGGAGATCTTTTTTTTATTATTTTTAAAAACGAATACAGAATCTCTCGTGCTGCACTGTCACAAATGAATAACTATTATGAATGTTAATTTTATATTTTTATATATACATGTGTTTTTGGCTACTTATTAATAAAGCGTTTAGATATGAAAAAGGGCTCTATTTCAGTTCGAATTGGGGAAAATGTCTCGGTATGCAATGTATCAATAAACAAACACAAGAATTGTGATTTTTAACTATCCATGCAGCTGGCTTAGTGACGGGAGACGTTTTATATTGGTATTCGTTATTTGTGCCTTAATACAATATTTGCACTATCCGGAAGAAAATATAGTGTAGTCGTAGGAAAAGTATAGTACAATTCTCGAGTTGTAAAGCAATCACGCACTTGTGGAGTTACACACTCGCCGCTATGCGGCATCGTGTGTAACTCTCTCCACTTCGTGCGTAATATGCGTTTTACAACTCTTGTTATGTAATATACTATTATGCATATCCTCAGAAGGATATATTCAGGTTATTTCTCAATTATATAAGCAACGTAAATGTTATCTTGATTCTGGTGTCACATTGTCTACTCATTGACAATAATATTGTACTCGTACTCGTATTGAATAGAAGTGATGTAACATATGATTTAACTAATAAATTTTGAACCTTCTCATTACCTCTTCTGTTACGTAACTGATCAACAAGAATATGTAATGTTTATGCGTTAGTTACGTGAATATATTTTCTGGAATATACATTGTACAAAAATGTATATTGTAACTTGATAGTTTGCGTTTGATTGGGCACCATAGAATTGAAATCACTACTTCAACCGGTCCTGATCGAACTGTGTCCCAAATTAATCATTTAAATTGTTTGAGTTCGTGTTCGCTTCACAATCATCGTTGAATGATTCACACATTTATATTGGATATTTCAGCGAATATGGACGAGGCAGAGAGATATAGAAACATGCCTAGAGTGGATTTTTCTCTAGCAGACGCTCAAAAAGGTGACGTGATTTACAAATACTTCGAAGATGCAGCTGATGCCGAAGGAAAATTTGTTACAGAAGAAAGTTTACGAAGTAAGTCGTTTTTTACATTATAAAACCCCATATATAAGCATATTATATTTTTAATATATTTTTCCACCACTTGCTACCTATATAACCTACCATTATTTAATCATTTTGAAGGCGTAAGGTGTGTTTTTACTACCAAGGTAGTATTCTTCATGTTATGAACTACTAGTCAATGAAGGCACGAAGTACTCCTCCACAAACTACCATCATACGGCTTACCACCTCAGCTATGCCATCTCTTTTCAAGTTTTCTTTCAGGCAGATCGCTTCACGTGGTGATGGACGGTGTAACGTCTGATACCATTGGCATCAATTCCGGCGTTCCACAAGGATCAATTTTGGCACCAACATAATTCCTTCTTCATATTAATGATCTGTTGGGAGTAACAACTTGTTCCATACACAGCTTTGCAGATGATAGTACCCTTCATACTGCGTTCTCTTCCAGAATTCCCATTTCGTTCCAGGAAAATGAGAACTCACGGCGCAGGCAGGTCATTGCTGTCAATGAAGACCTTGCTGAAATCACAGCCTGGGGAACCAACAACCTAGTTGATTTCAACGCCACCAAAACTCAAGCCTGTATTTTCTGTAGAAAGGCGGAACTCAGTATGCCCGATATTGTAATGTCTGGCACCACCATCCCCACCAAGCCCACCATATCTATGTTCGGTATTTCTGTGGTATTTCCATCAGCAACACTCTTTCATGGGATAATCATGTCAGATCCATCGCAAAAGCTGCTTCATAAAAACTCGGATTCTTGTTCCGTGCGAAAAGCTACTTTTCACCTCAAAAGCTGCTCATGATCTACAGAGCGCAGATACTACCTGTTCTAGAATACTGTGTCCACATATGGGGTTCAGCACCAGAACATACGCTGATGCTCTCAGATTCTATCCAGAGAAGAGCCATTCGCCTGGTGGGTGCCGCCACACTCACTCACTCTTTGACATCATTGGAACACCGTAGGAAAGTCGGCGACCTATCACTTTTTTATCGATACTTCCACGAGGAATGTTCCTCGAAAATCTCTGCTATCATCCCTTCACTAGCAATACCAGTCAGGCGAACTAGATAAGCCCAGTCAGCACACCCTTTTGTTGTCAATTCCGAAAGATGTCGAACAGCCGTTTATCAAAACTCCTTCATCCATAAAACGGCTAGGCTTTGGAATCAATTGCCTGAGGAAGTATTCCCAGATACATATAAGTAATCTCAAGTTCAGAAAAAATTCAATATCTACCTCCTGTCCCTATCCTCCCTAGGAACGCACGATGTTCTTTGAACATTATAGGGATTTCCTTTCGTGCGCTCCAAGCGTTAAAAAAAAGACATGGCCCCACCAATAACTGAAAGTTGATGTTCCATGCCCGAATTCACTGTTCTGAGATTCGCAAGGATATTAATCTCGAATCGTATCGTATTTATCAAAAACGAAACGACTTGTCATATGCTGTCATTGTCATGGCTACTTGGAAAGAAGTGCTTCTATAGTGACAATAGAAAGAACATTATTACCACTGGACCTTATACCCATCGGCTGAAGCCCCAGGATATAATCTTGGTACCAGGGTGATGATGACATTCTTTAGAACCTTGGTGTATAAATTACTATTCCATGTGAGTATAGTAGTGAAGTATAATAGTAGGTAAAGCCACAATACCAGTTCCCAAGAGAATAACACATTGAAGAATCGATGGTAATAATTTTGACTTGTGAGGAGGACCTGAAATTTGACAGTTTTTCACAGATAACTCCTCAAATTCTTGAAATATGACTGAACCGTGAGTTTTGTCTTGTTCGTAAACTTAAGTAGTTACCTGAGTTAATCAAATGTATAGAACCATCCATAAATCCCAGTAACCAGTCCTTAGATCTTTCTGAATTCCTATACATGTTGGATAGGAAATGTGGTGGTCCGAAAAATTGAATCGCCAATGATGCCACGTTCTCAGTTTTTCCGGGATTATCACCAACTTCCTTATTTTGAATAGAACACCCTATATATTTTTATATCATTTGATGGATAAATCTTCAACGAGTTCACTGATATACTTCTTGATAGTTTCATTCACAAAATTCAAGAAGATTTCTCAAAAAAACCTACAAATCATTCCTGAATAATTAAAAGTTTATTAAACAAGGCGGCTGATGAGAAATGTCATACTTATGTGTTAATAATGATGAAAGTGAGGTATGGTGCGCGCATTCGGCCATTATCACGTATTGAAAATTTCAGTAAAATAACTCGACCGCCTACTATGATTTCTCTAAGTCACAACGAGTGAGACGTTGATTCTACATTTTCCCGCTAGATGGTGATGCTTCTATTGCTGCTGAGACGAGTGGAAATGAAATGGCAAATGGAATTTCAGGTACGCGGAACCAATCACAAAATTCACAAAGTGAACACTGTGAATAACAAAAGTAGGGTTATGTTAATCATGTTGATGACTTTTTTGCAACACTGCCAATGAGCACTAGCCAGGATATTCTTAAGGCTTTATAGTTTTATGAAGGCGTTATCTTATAACTTTCTCGAATCAATCTTATCATTCTCGAAGCTTTGTTGTCATACCCACAGGAGCGAATAGTCATAGGAATGAATTGGAATATGCATTAAGTACTTGAACAGGAGGAAATCGTCTCATGAAATGCATGATCATTACCTGAAGGTTTCAATCAAGCATTAGAGAAAGAAAGTTGGTTTCAAATATATTTTGCGCCATATTCACTACAAACAGATGTCGGCCATTGATGGAAATGAGGATTTCAAGCAGAAAATGAAAAAGATGCATTGATACTGCCGTCAAAAATGTTGTTTCTCCACATTTTTCAAACGACTCACCCATAATCAGCAAACATTCATACAGTTTTGCCAACTTTTTTGAAAAGTTATTAAAATTCACATCCAATTCTTACTGGTAAAAACACATTATTTCTAGAGCGCTGCTGTTTTTGAAGCATATCTGGTATGTTTTCGTCAGAAAAGTTGTCATCGTTTTCATTTTACAGCCTCAATCATTACAAAAAGGACTATTTGATACAGTAGGGAATTATCATATCATACCGCCATGTTTTTTTTTTTTTTATCGATTGGAGCGCACGAAAGGGAATCCCTATAATGTTCAAAGAACATCGTGCGTTCCTAGGGAGGATAGGGACAGGAGGTAGGTATTGGAATTTTTTTTGAATTTTTGGAGATTAAATGTTGTTGGGAATACTTCCACAGGCAATGAATTCCAGAGCCTAGCCGTTCTATGGATGAAGGAGTCTTGATAAAGTGCTGTTCGACATCTTTCGAGGTTGACGACGAAAGGATGTGCTGACTGGGCTTGTCTAGTTCGTCTGATTGGTATTGCTAGTGAAGGGATGATTGCAGAGATTTCCGAAGAACATTTCCCGTGGAAGTATCGATAGAGAAGTGAAAGGTCGCCGACCTTTCTACGGTGTTCCAATGATGTCAAAGAGTGAGTGAGTGTGGCGTCACCCACCAGGCGAATGGCTCTTCTCTGGATGGAATCTAAGAGCATCAGCGTATGTTTTGGTGCTGAACCCCATATGTGGGAACAGTATTCTAGAACAGGCCGTATCTGCGCTTTGTAGATCATGAGGAGCTGTTGAGGTGTAAAGTAGCTTTTCGCACGGAACAAGAATCCGAGTTTTTGTGAAGCAGCTTTTGCGATGGATCTGACATGATTATCCCATGAAAGAGTGTTGCTGATGGAAATACCGAGCATAGATATGGTGGGCTTGGTGGGGATGGTGGAGCCAGACATCACAATATCGGGCATACTGAGTTCCGCCTTTCTAGAGAAAATGCAGGCCTGAGTTTTGGTGGCGTTGAATTCAACTAGGTTGTTCGTTCCCCAGGCTGTGATTTCAGCAAGATCTTCATTGACAGCATTGACCTGCCTGCGCCGTGAGTTCTTAGTTTCCTGGGAAGAAATGGGAATTCTGGAAGAGAACGCAGTATGGAGGGTACTATCATCTGCAAAGCTGTGGATGGGGCAAGTTGTTACTCCCAACAGATCATTGATATGAAGCAGGAATAATGTTGGTGCCAAAATTGATCCTTGTGGAACGCCGGAATTGATGCCAATGGTATCAGACGATACACCGTCCACCACCACGTGAAGCGATCTGCCTGAAAGAAAACTCGATAAGAGATGGCATAGCTGAGGTGGTAAGCCGTATGATGGTAGTTTGTGGAGGAGTCCTTCGTGCCAAACACGGTCGAATGCTTTCGATATGTCCAACGCGACAGCTAGAGATTCCCCGTGTTTTTCCATTGAAGATTGCCATAAATGGGTGACGTAGGCAAGCAGATCTCCAGTAGATCTTCGGTGGCGAAAGCCGTATTGTCTATCATTGATGATTCCTGAGCTCTCCAGATATTTGATAAGCTCAATATTGATGGCTTTCTCCATCACTTTGGAGATTACTGATAACAGGGCAATGGGCCTGTAGTTGTTGGGCAGGTTCTTGTTCCCTTTTTTGGGGATTGGTTGGACTCTAGCTGTCTTCCAGCATGATGGAAAAATACCCGACCTGTACGAGATGGTAAACAACTTGCAGAGAATCGGTGTTAATTCTGGTGCACATTGTTTGAGGATAATGGGTGGAATTCCATCAGGACCGTTAGCCTCATTCGTTTTGAGACCAAGCAAAATTCGCCTGATAGTGCGTTGACGGAAGACGATTTCGGGCATTCGACTCTCGACGGGTGGAATGTCTGGCGGCAGTTTTCCTTGGGAATCTAAAGTAGAGTTTGCTGCGAACATCTCTGCAAAAATATTCGCTTTCTCCTGCGATGTTGTTGCTAATGTGCCGTCGGATTTGGACAGTGGTGGAAATGAACTATTAGTGAAATTTCTTCCGACCGCTTTAGCAAGGGACCAAAACGAACGGGAGCCATTGGGGCAATCTATGAGTTTCAATCTTATCTTGGCATTGTATGTTTCTTTCGAAGCATCTATTGTTTGGCTGCAGTTATTCC